AGGTGGAATCTGGAAACGCAAATGATCAGAAGGAACGTAATCTAGACTTCACTCCCCTGTAGACACTGATACTAAACCAATGCGTCTTTGAGTCGAGCGTAGCTGGAACAGGTGCCAGTCATTGGGAAGGATGTTCTCTCAAGGTATCGGTCAATATAGGATAACCCAAGTTTGATATACAAGTATTTTTATATTCAAGTTTGTATTTTCATGAAGTATTCTGTAGTACTTTGTAATTTATGGAAGGAATGTCTCTCAGATAGCTGGTATCGAACCGGGGTAACGGGGAACGCAGAAACACTGGATCATTCTGGTGAAGCTTCATATGAGATTTGCATGGTAATGGGATGGCGCGACGAATCGTGAATCTTCGAATGGCGTCCTGTTTTTTTTTACCTTAGTAATGCTTTCGTCTAGCTATTCTCGAGGGGTCGGTAATCCTTTGATGGCTCTCCTGGGTTCTGATTGCTCGCGGGTTGGCTACGGGGTCATTCCTCCTCCTTCTACGCTGTTTCCGTCTTCGACTCCTCCTTCTCCTCCTCTTTCTCCTCCTCTTTCTCCTCCTCCTTCTCCTTTTTCTCCTCCTCATCATCCTCCTTCTCCTTCTTCCATTTTTAATTTTCCTCCTCCTCCTCCTCCTCCTCCTCCTCCTCCTCCTCCTCCTCCTTCTCCTCCTCCTCCTCCTCCTCCTCCTCCTCCTCCTCCTCCTTCTCCTTCTCCTCCTTCTCCTTCTCCTCCTCCTCTTCCTCCTCCTCCTCTTCCTCCTCCTCCTCTTCCTCCTCCTCCTCCCTCTCCACCTCTTCCTCCTCCTCCTCCTCTTCCTCCTCCTCCTCCTCTTCCTCCTCCTCCTCCTCCTCCTCCTCCTCCTCCTCCTCCTCCTCCTCTCCCCTTCCCCGCATTCATTTCTCGTTATCTGATTGCCAGTGTGTCTTACGTTTCAGTGCGCTACGCCGACGCATTAATTAAGCACGGTGTATTATTGAATATTCCCAGCTGGATAATCCTGAGAAATGTTTTTGTTGGCAACCCATCTTCAAGTCACCCTCCCCCAGGCTGCCGCTCTCTCCACACCCACATATAATTTTATTATATAAATTAATGCCATGTTAGATTATGGGTATAATTTTATCATATAAATTAATGCCATGTTAGATTATGGGTATAATTTTATCATATAAACTAATGCCATATTTGATTATGGGTTTAAACACAGTTGTAGGTTAGGTTAAGTGTTTTGACTCTGCTTGCCAATCATATAATTTACAGTTGAGGAGGCCTTTAGAGAGAGATGCTTGAAATAAGTGCACGAGACACCGATAAAATTTAGAATGTAGTGAATTGTTGCTCTTGACACATGCCACACTTGTCATCCAACAATGATAGCACTTATATAGCAACTGTTGGTCGAACGTAGAAAAACGTACTGTTGTACCCCGAAAAGTTGACGTTTTGTACATTAAGTTCCTCAAAGGGCTGGTGAAAGAATGAAGCAACTAAACTTACACTTTGCTAGGCCTAGTATAGCACATATGTGTAGTACATTAGCCCTAAGATGGCATATATTATTGGCTAAGATTGTTTATTGTACCCTCAATAAATAAAATTCTATTGTACCCTCAATAGAATTTATTTATTCTAGATTATTTATATAACCTAGAACAAGGTAGGTTATATACTTTTGTTCCAATATTTATCATGCCATTTGGAGTATTCCAGTTGTAAAAAAGGTGAACTTTTAAGGGGGGAGGGGGGATTCAACAGTCCAGTTTTGTACGTTGGACATATAGTTCCTATATGTCGTACATATAAGGACATATAGTTCCTGTATGTACTATAATTTTTGGAATATATGTTAGCAAAGTGCTTTTCATAAATAAACATACTAGTAGGGGGTGCCCGGCAGTGCCCGGGACAGTCTGTCTCTCCCTGACTCCCCCCCCCCCACCTTCCCCCCACCTTCCCCTCCCGCCCCCTCATCCTCTATATTCCCTCACATTCCCCCTTCCCTCCCTCCACCCTTCCCCCTCTTCCCTATTTTTTTAGTACACAATGTTAAAACTGATGAATGCGGCTAGGATTCGGCCGCTGCTTTAGCAAGCTTAGTAGGCTGCCAAGCGTGAGGGCGGGTTACATCTTAAGTGCTTCGCTCCTACTGCAAGTATAAATAATTTCCAACACCTAATCTAACCTTTCGTATGCCTAGCTCTCTACAAACTTATAAATTGTATATATTAGAGAAAATATTTTTTGGGGGGTTTCATAGTACGTTAAAACCTATCAAATCTAAAGTCTTTGGGGTCGATTGCAGGTTGGACGAGCATAGCCTGATGGTGGTTTGAAATATATGTAATTGCCTACAGAACCAAAACTCCTAACCTATCCTTCCCTGTGTCTAAATATACACCAGACTATAATACACACCAAACTATAATATATAAATAAGATATACTATATATATGAGAAAATACAGTTTACATTGCACAGCACAAATCGTTTACAACTGCTCTGTGGAGTGCCGCAGCTTGAACAGTTATAACCTGAGAATGGGTGTCAGTATACTATGTAACACATCTTAATTTATGTGTTCCTAGGCAGTAAATAATTTTTTCTCAGCTGACAACCTTCAAGACGTCTTCCCCCAAGCTGTCTGAGGTAATGGTTAAAACACATCAAGATGTTATTTTCTGCAAAATAATTAAGCTTTCTTGCTGTCTGAACTGATCAGTCCGTCTTATGGACTGATCAGTTCAGACGAGTTAACGTAGCTCGAGCCCCGTTGTTCACCACTCTCGTGACGGTTCTGCCTGCGAATCATTCATCACGGTGATGAGTGCGGAACTGGCACTTAACGCTTGACGCCCGTTAACGTGATAGCGATATGTCTTACGAGGGTGTGCTCTTAGGTTGGAATGCCACCTGCGAGCAATGGCGCCTGCGTGCCATGAAACTCTTATGGATTTTGCATCTGCGTAGGCTGGCACTTATGACTGATGGCACAACGGAGGGGTGAGAACTGCATAGACCAGTGTTGGCACCTGTGTGTTTGGCCTCTGCTAGACTTGGCACTTGTGTGGGCTCTCATGTGCAGGAAATTGCAACCACTCCAATTCCTCTTCATGAACCCCCCCCCCCCGCAGAGTAAAACCTCCACCTAAACCAGAAAATTAACATGATAAAGTCCAATAGTTTGGATCCAGACTAGTCCTGGAGCTTAGGGACATAAGCCTCGAGGAAATTTACAAGAGTTTGATCTTACGGTATTTGAAAATTGCAGAGCTAGAAGGGATCTAGTCACGACCTTTAAAATATTTCATTCAACCTATCCACACACTTAATGCACCACAGTTTTAACGATCTCACCCACAGCGTAAAAACGGTGGTGCCTTAGAGAAATTAAATGAATAGCAATAGTGACGTTTCTTCGGGCTAATGAACATTGGTCTGGATATGTTAGGCACGTATGCTTCATGATAGCCAAAACCACTTAAAAATTGACGTTTGTTAAATGGTGAGATGGTGTTGCTGAACCACCGCATGCACAGCGTGGCGGGGGACACAAACTCAGGCACACCCATACCCTGGCAGTAGCAGTGGTTCTGAAGCAACTAAGTTCAGAGAGTAATCAAATCATTTGTGTTAAGGAACTAGATCACTAGAGAATAAGGAGGTTGAACAGTGTACCGCAACGGAAACAACAAAAATAACCATACATCATTTAACAGAGCCAGAGCCAGGGAAAGACAGGCGAGAGTGTGATCGACAGTCAGCCCGTCCCGACAGTAGGTAACAGATCATAACGATCAGTATGGCTAGTCAGACAACACAGGAGATTTAGAAGCAGAGTAGGATAGGGAGCGGCTAGATAGAACAGGTGTGACTGGTTGAAGTAGCGTTCAAAATTCAGAGACCAGTGAGGCACATACTAGCGCATAGAGGAGACTGACGTATGTGAGGAAATGTTGGGAAGTATACCAAAATCACATGTTTATGTACGAGAAAGGAGAAGGAAAAATAGTAGAGAGGGATGAATAAATGTGAGAACATTTTGACAAGCAAATTTGGACAATAAGGACATAGTGACATATCAACACGCCTGATATGTCACTAATAGAAATAATTAGAAGTTATAGGCATATGCAAGATGAATATCATATATCATGTCTTTGAAATAATTCATAAAAAGCAATAAATGCATGTAAAACTGGCATGAAAATAAAAACAGGCATTTGGTCTCAACACACGAGCAAAAAACTCAAAAATGCAGTTTTTCATTCCAATTCATCTCAGTACACATACCACCATTCTTAAGTACTACTTGCTTAAATGAACTGTTTTAAACTAAAGCAAGGAAGCTAAGATAACATATTTAAATGTAATTAGTTTTAGTAAATATAAGAATAGTTGGTATGCTCTCGACACCAAGGAATCTTTGGAAGGACTCTCGGGGTTTGGTCGGGTTAGAGTCTAACCCTGAAAGATCGGGGGCCGAGAAGTAGAGCTCCTGGCTACCCATTTTTCACTATCTAATCTCTCCATAAGTAAGTTTATCTTGCCAAACTATCCAACTGGTATGTTTGAACATGCTTCAGTTAAACATTAGTTGTCCTGTCGCAAAAGGTCTAGTTTTATTTTCGGAAGAATATATCCTCCTGGTTCTCTGAGCTTGTTACAGTCAGAGCAAGTATAATACAAAGCAAATATGTCCTAACCTACGGCAGTAGGTGACTTTTAACTGAAATTTGTGCCCCAAGTGCTGACATTCTCCCTTTAAGCACATGTAGGCAAGCCCGCAGGCACACCACATACATACCAAATAAGGATACCCATTCACGTGACGTCAGTAATGATGTCAACGCCGCTCAATTGCATTAACTTTCATTAAATATTAATGAAGGTGTGTCAGAAGGGAATCTGATAAGCGGTAAAACCAGCCCGTGAGTCCCTCTGCACCCTGTAAGTCCCTCGAGTTTCTACTTGGTCTACCAAGTCTTTTCAAAGACTCAGGTTACTGGGATTCCTTGGGTCTTGGGTAGGCCTGGAATCTTTGGAAGGACTCTTTCGGATGGACAGGTGTCTGGAAGGATGGACAGGTGTCTTTGGAAGGACAGGTGTCTTTGGAAGGACAGATGTCTTTGGAAGGACAGGTGTCTTTGGAAGGACAGGTGTTTTTGGAAGGACTGGTCTTTGGAAGGACAGATGTCTTTGGAAGGACAGGTGTCTTTGGAAGGACAGGTGTCTTTGGAAGGACAGGTGTCTTTGGAAGGACAGATGTCTTTGGAAGGACAGGTGTCTTTGGAAGGACAGGTGTCTTTGGAAGGACTGGTCTTTGGAAGGACAGGTGTCTTTGGAAGGACAGGTGTCTTTGGAAGGACAGGTGTCTTTGGAAGGACTGGTCTTTGGAAGGACAGGTGTCTTTGGATGGACAGGTGTCTTTGGATGGACAGGTGTCTTTGGAAGGACTGGTGTCTTTGGAAGGACAGGTGTCTTTGGAAGGACAGGTGTCTTTGGAAGGACTGGTCTTTGGAAGGACAGGTGTCTTTGGATGGACAGGTGTCTTTGGAAGGACAGATGTCTTTGGAAGGACAGGTGTCTTTGGAAGGACAGGTGTCTTTGGAAGGACAGGTGTCTTTGGAAGGACAGGTGTCTTTGGAAGGACTGGTGTCTTTGGAAGGACAGGTGTCTTTGGAAGGACAGGTGTCTTTGGAAGGACTGGTCTTTGGAAGGACAGGTGTCTTTGGATGGACAGGTGTCTTTGGATGGACAGGTGTCTTTGGAAGGACTGGTGTCTTTGGAAGGACAGGTGTCTTTGGAAGGACTGGTCTTTGGAAGGACAGGTCTTTGGAAGGACAGGTGTCTTTGGATGGACAGGTGTCTTTGGAAGGACTGGTCTTTGGAAGGACAGGTGTCTTTGGAAGGACTGGTCTTTGGAAGGACAGGTGTCTTTGGATGGACAGGTGTCTTTGGAAGGACTGGTCTTTGGAAGGACAGGTGTCTTTGGATGGACAGGTGTCTTTGGAAGGACTGGTCTTTGGAAGGACAGGTGTCTTTGGATGGACAGGTGTCTTTGGAAGGACAGGTGTCTTTGGAAGGACAGGTGTCTTTGGAAGGACAGGTGTCTTTGGAAGGACAGATGTCTTTGGAAGGACAGGTGTCTTTGGAAGGACAGGTGTCTTTGGAAGGACTGGTCTTTGGAAGGACAGGTGTCTTTGGAAGGACAGGTGTCTTTGGAAGGACAGGTGTCTTTGGAAGGACTGGTCTTTGGAAGGACAGGTGTCTTTGGATGGACAGGTGTCTTTGGATGGACAGGTGTCTTTGGAAGGACTGGTGTCTTTGGAAGGACAGGTGTCTTTGGAAGGACAGGTGTCTTTGGAAGGACTGGTCTTTGGAAGGACAGGTGTCTTTGGATGGACAGGTGTCTTTGGAAGGACAGATGTCTTTGGAAGGACAGGTGTCTTTGGAAGGACAGGTGTCTTTGGAAGGACAGGTGTCTTTGGAAGGACAGGTGTCTTTGGAAGGACTGGTGTCTTTGGAAGGACAGGTGTCTTTGGAAGGACAGGTGTCTTTGGAAGGACTGGTCTTTGGAAGGACAGGTGTCTTTGGATGGACAGGTGTCTTTGGATGGACAGGTGTCTTTGGAAGGACTGGTGTCTTTGGAAGGACAGGTGTCTTTGGAAGGACTGGTCTTTGGAAGGACAGGTCTTTGGAAGGACAGGTGTCTTTGGATGGACAGGTGTCTTTGGAAGGACTGGTCTTTGGAAGGACTGGTCTTTGGAAGGACAGGTGTCTTTGGATGGACAGGTGTCTTTGGAAGGACTGGTCTTTGGAAGGACAGGTGTCTTTGGATGGACAGGTGTCTTTGGAAGGACTGGTCTTTGGAAGGACAGGTGTCTTTGGATGGACAGGTGTCTTTGGAAGGACAGATGTCTTTGGAAGGACAGGTGTCTTTGGAAGGACAGGTGTCTTTGGAAGGACAGGTGTTTTTGGAAGGACTGGTCTTTGGAAGGACAGATGTCTTTGGAAGGACAGGTGTCTTTGGAAGGACAGGTGTCTTTGGAAGGACAGGTGTCTTTGGAAGGACAGATGTCTTTGGAAGGACAGGTGTCTTTGGAAGGACAGGTGTCTTTGGAAGGACAGGTGTCTTTGGAAGGACTGGTCTTTGGAAGGACAGGTGTCTTTGGAAGGACAGGTGTCTTTGGAAGGACAGGTGTCTTTGGAAGGACTGGTCTTTGGAAGGACAGGTGTCTTTGGATGGACAGGTGTCTTTGGATGGACAGGTGTCTTTGGAAGGACTGGTGTCTTTGGAAGGACAGGTGTCTTTGGAAGGACAGGTGTCTTTGGAAGGACTGGTCTTTGGAAGGACAGGTGTCTTTGGATGGACAGGTGTCTTTGGAAGGACAGATGTCTTTGGAAGGACAGGTGTCTTTGGAAGGACAGGTGTCTTTGGAAGGACAGGTGTCTTTGGAAGGACAGGTGTCTTTGGAAGGACTGGTGTCTTTGGAAGGACAGGTGTCTTTGGAAGGACAGGTGTCTTTGGAAGGACTGGTCTTTGGAAGGACAGGTGTCTTTGGATGGACAGGTGTCTTTGGATGGACAGGTGTCTTTGGAAGGACTGGTGTCTTTGGAAGGACAGGTGTCTTTGGAAGGACTGGTCTTTGGAAGGACAGGTCTTTGGAAGGACAGGTGTCTTTGGATGGACAGGTGTCTTTGGAAGGACTGGTCTTTGGAAGGACAGGTGTCTTTGGATGGACAGGTGTCTTTGGAAGGACTGGTCTTTGGAAGGACAGGTGTCTTTGGATGGACAGGTGTCTTTGGAAGGACTGGTCTTTGGAAGGACAGGTGTCTTTGGATGGACAGGTGTCTTTGGAAGGACAGATGTCTTTGGAAGGACAGGTGTCTTTGGAAGGACAGGTGTCTTTGGAAGGACTGGTGTCTTTGGAAGGACAGGTGTCTTTGGAAGGACAGGTGTCTTTGGAAGGACTGGTCTTTGGAAGGACAGGTGTCTTTGGATGGACAGGTGTCTTTGGATGGACAGGTGTCTTTGGAAGGACTGGTGTCTTTGGAAGGACAGGTGTCTTTGGATGGACAGGTGTCTTTGGAAGGACAGGTGTCTTTGGATGGACAGGTGTCTTTGGATGGACAGGTGTCTTTGGAAGGACTGGTGTCTTTGGAAGGACTTACATCTCAAGATATTACACTGAAAGGACTCGGATCATTGAAGGTCTCTTACTCAAGTTTCCACAATGCCTCAAGTTATAGGTAATTCCCAGCAATTAATAGTAAATGAAAATATTTATTTAACGAGGTGATGTGTCAACACTTTTGATGAAAAAATTTCAATCCTTCATAGTGTTTCGAATAAAAATTGATGAATAAAAAACAATAGAGGAAGCAGTCGGTCCTAATAAACACTGGTTAAATATTCGTTAATCCATCCACTGTTGTTAGTGATTTAAAAAAGCAAACATATGACTTTTAACTTAACTCTCTCACATCCTTTGGTTGAATTGCACCTCAGAATGCGTCACTCACGTACTACAATTACAAATAATTGCCAACAGATTCAAAACACCTAATATAAAACATCAATTTATATTTGAGATAATACTGTGTTTGAGATTACACATTATTCGGTCCGGTCGGTCGCGGTCGAGGACCGGGCCGCGGGGACACTAAAAGGCCCGAAATCATCTCAAGATAACCTCAAGATTATATTAAAAGTCATGAATTTGTCTCCGGTTCTGCGGCTGTTGGACGAGCGTATCCTGAGGCTGCAGGTTCAGTGGCGGTTAATTGGAGTCCACAGCAATTTGTAGGAGTTAGGCAGTTATCCTTGAGGGTTGGGTTGGATCACCTCAATTTAGACATTGTATAGGAGTTTTGTGCGGAAGGGGAAATTCGGATATTTCATCTATATAAGAATTCATCTATATTAAGTCTGATATTCGGGGGAAAGGAGGCAGAGAGCAGGAAGCAATTAAATCTTATCATTGTGTTAAAAGAATCATCTATAATTTCAAAAGTTTGTCTTGGTTAATCCACTAATCGTCAAGAGTTATAATTGTTTCTGAAACATCTCCAAATACAAGAATGAATAGCTCATAAACGGTGATGGATACTAAGACACCAATGTAATTTACATATGTCCAAGTTTATAAAACAAATATTACATTTCTACGTTTTTTCTGCCTTTGATGATAACATTGACGGGTCAGATCACCTGGTTAATTGAAACTTCGCCCCCGCGCCTCCATACGCTATAGAGACGCTATCAATTACAGCGTTTAAATACAGGTGTTTTAGTGAAACTTAAATTGATGGGTGAAACTCCTGGTGCATGTTGAGGGGAGTGAAGTTCCTGGTGCATGTTGAGGCAGGTGAAGTTCCTGGTGCATGTTGAGGGGTGGTGAAGTTCCTGGTGCATGTTGAGGGGGTGAAGTTCCTGGTGCATGTTGAGAGAGGTGAAGTTCCTGGTGCATGTTGAGGCAGGTGAAGTTCCTGGTGCATATCGCGGGTCGACTGGCAGCAAAAACTGGAGCCAAGACCGGGTTGTGTTTTTCATCTTCCTCTTGATGAAGACACGACCTAAACGGGATGAACAACTCCGGAAATAATTTCCGGATTTATTTTTTAACGCTGCTGGTAAGAGTGCCTATTTTATTGGCCCGGTGCCAGGAATAGCATCTGGGGCACTAATACGATGGGAGAACCATAAATAACGTTTGTTTTTACCAATAATCAGCCGGAACCATTTTGTTTCCTCTAGTAGAAATTGCCTCATCAATTCAATTTCGGTAATATTTATATTATGCAGTACAGTGTCTGGAATATAAATATTGTTAGTGTCAGCAGTAAGTTATCATCGAGGAAGTGTCAATAATACACTTTTATTGTGACGTATTAATAATAATACCAATTAGGACACCGTATTAATTTAGTCTCATTTGTTAGCTTGCCTTCAGTAATGTATTATCGCTTAGGAATAAAGTGAAACGAAATACCAGAGATAAAAATATTAAAACTGTAGTGTTATCAATAACGTTTCATAAAAGCAATGTTATTAGTAACATTGCCGAAGTCGGCGGTTCGAGTCTCCTAGTGCCCAGGTAAATGAAATGTTTATTTTCACGGTAGTGTAGCAGACAATTTATATGACGTCAGCGTGGAGCAATAATTTCTCTGTACTTAGTTGCAGCTGGCGAAAGTATAAAGTGCTCTGTTGCTGTTGTTTTAAATTCAGCTACTCTGAACAAAAAGTTCCAAGTAGCACGGGCTATGGTGAGCCCGTAGTGGACTTACCTGGCACAGGAGCGGGGCTGTAACTCTGGGTCAATATAAAGGCATATATATTGCCATTAAAAGCTTTTTATATTTATATGCTACCATCAGTAGTATAATTAATATAATTCTAGGAATTACATTTCCTATCATAACATTTCATTAAACAACCACATTATTCAAAAATTATAGTACCTGTAGTTGCTATGGATGAAAGTATAAATTATGGGCTGTTGCGTGCACATCCGCGCATATCCGCGCACGCACACTTTGTAGAGAACCCGAGAAATAAGGCACCAGTCCACCTTAACTTTTCCTAGATTTATATATCCTAAATTGCTTGTGTTAGACCTTGGATTGCTCATTTAGGACTACATAGGTAATTAGCTTAACTTTTTAGTTTACTCTTTAAAATTGCAATAACACAAAAATGTGGATTCATAGTACCTATAGGTTTATAATTTTTGGACGATGGAATGCATTAATATAGTACCATAAGTAACATTTAATATAGTACTAGGAATTAAATTAAATTAAACTTATCCTAGGAGTGCCGTCATATTCATATAGCATCCCATCCACCTGTTCATATAGCGCTTTCAGTAACGATGTGGACCATCGTACATATATTGACGTAATGGGCAATTAGAAAGTAGAATTTGTTGCTACTGAATTTGGACAAACCAGCAAAGGTTTTGTATTTATGTAGCTAATAAAACCTAACCTAACAATCCTAGGTCTAACACACGATATCTGAGGCCTAATATACTACATATATGTGCTATACTAGGCCTAGGAATATTTAGGATTAACTTGTACATATATTTTTTCCGGACTCTTATAAAGTGAATAGTACCAAATTCTGTAATCTAATTGTCCATTAGCTGAGTATATGTACGGTTGTCCCATATAGTGACAAAAGTACTATCTTAGCAGGAGGATGGGTTGTCATATAGTGTTACCTTATTACATGGCTTAAATATGTTTGTATATTATTAACTTTAGAAAATACTCTCAAATTAAACACTATTAAATTAATGGCTTTGTCTATAGTACAGGAACGGGTCAGTCTGGTAAATGTCGTATGTTTTTAAAGTCGTATATGTTGACCAATCCACACACTAGAAAATGAAGGGATGGCGACGTTTCGGTCCGTCCTGGACCATTCTCAAGTCGAATGATCACAATCGACTTTAGAATGGTCCAGGACGGACCGAAACGTCGTCGTCCCTTCACCTGCTAGTGTGTGGATTGGTCAACATACTTCAGCCACGTTATTGTGACTCATCGCCTGCAAGTCGTATATCTTAAATAATATATTGAAAATTATGTTCTGGTGAGGCTAGCGAAGGTCAGAGCCGCTGTGTTACCTGGCCGCGTCTAGTACCTCCCAGAGAGGTTCCGGCGCCCCACTAGTGAAGGAAGAAAAACGGGAGGAGGGAAGCAATAACTCCTTGTTTTCTTTTGGGGTTTGAGGTTAATGGCAGAGGGTGCCGGGAGCGGAGGCACGGATTTCCGTCTTTCCTTGTTTACTCCTTCCCTTTGTTTACCCTTTGCTCTTGTTAACCTTCTTTTTCCTTGTTTATAGGAAACGCTTGCATATTTCCACGCCACAAAATGGCCAGTGTTGTAATTGGATTTGTTGAAATTATGAACTATTATATTCACTTTTTGCAATGTTGCAGGCGCTGTTGAAAGCTACGCTAGGTTGTCAAAGGAGATCATTATATTTTTAAGTCTTAAAGGTTCAAGTGCTGGTGAAAAACAGTTAAAACAGGACAGGAGCTTCTGAACATGTTAACGTTCGTATTCAAGATGTGTCATGACATGAATGTTGCAAAATTACACCAAGTGTTGCTTTATGGTTTTTTTTTATCTTTGCCATGCTTCTGTAGAATGAAATGAATCATAAGAGAACAACAAAAGCAACTTACAAGCCCGAAAATCATTAAAGATTAACCGTTTCTAAATTTAGTAGATTTTACCTCCTTGCTTTGAGCTTGTTATACTTACATGTTTTTTTTAATTTAAGCACATTTTGTGTGCGGTAAGGTCAAGATCTGCTATGGAGGCGTTACCTTAATGTGGAGGACAGAGCACGATCGCTCGCACACACATTCTAGACGGAAAGTGTCAAGTTAGCTGAGGAGAGTTATGACGTAGAGAGAACACATTCCAGGCGTCTGCAATATCAGCTTAAGACGGAGAGTGCTACTGCTATTGTCGTGTTTTGAAGACACTCTAACCATCTTGCATTTTGCGATTATTATGCAGACCTTCATTTGTTGCGGACAGGTGATCAACGATGCATCCTTCCAAAGAATTGCTGCTCTGTCTCTTGCTAATGAATCTTTGAGCTTTTAAATATGGTAATAAACAGGATATGGATGATTCCAAGCTACTTAATCCTCCACGTTGTGAATGGTTACTTTTTGCACAGGAAGCAACGCTCGTCATACAACAATCAAATGCATTATGCGATGTCATCATATGCACTCCAATATGACAATCATATGTCATCATATAACAATCGACTTGAGAAAGGTCCATTACGGACCGAAACGTCGTCATCCCTTCACCTTCAAATGTGTGGTCTGGTCAACATACTTCAGCCACGTTTTTGTGACTCATCGTCTGAATATGCCTTCCAAATTTGCCTTAATTTGTTGAGGTATTATCGAGAGACAGAACCGAATTGACTAGGGAAAAGGTGTTTTTTAGGGCAATGTATTTTTTGAAGTTGATCAACTTTCTATTCGTTAAATTTTATAATCGTAAATTAAGAGGAAAGGTAAATCATAAGTAAGTTTTCATATTTATCCTCTTTTTGAAAAAGTTAGTTTAGCTACATTATTATACATTCCGCAATGAACATTAGACAAAATAA